TCAGAGATCTTAGATCAGAATCAGCAGGGTCCTTAGCTGTGTGGAGTCCACAGGTCCATGGCAAACTCTGTCCCATAGATGCTTTTTTTTCAGCTCATACAAAGTTGTAAAAATTAGGAGATACTTGAACACATGTTCAAGGTTTCAGCTGAGATTTCTAGTTTTTCTTGAATAATCGGAGGACCTGGCTATACTGGATTTGTTTCAGCACAGCAGCATTTGAGGAGGCATCTCCTGTCTCATTGCCACAGTCCCCATGCATCCTATTACATAAGGATGGTCTCCTCATCTGTGAGTGAGGCTATGCCTGCAGCTTGTCCCATGAGTTAGTATGTTCATGTGCTATCCCCACTACACAGATGAGGAAATCAAGCCTGAAAAGGGACTTACCCAAAGCCACAGAACTGGAAGTGCTGGAGCTGAGACTCCTGATCTTCTGCATTCTGTGCCTGCTCTGTCAGCATCTGAGTTGGCAACACTTGACTTCCCACCTCCTCCCCACCCCCACTGAAAGCAGAAAAGTCACTAGAGCCAAGGAAGAGGAAATACATCATGACACTGCCATGCTGTGTCGTATTAGTGGGGCTGGCTTCCCGCTCCATGGTAAACAACTGGGGAGTGGGATTTTTTTCTCCATGTTCTCAGTGTCTGGTGCACTATATGCTGAATGGATAAAGTGACCCACCCTCAGTCACACGGAGCCAAGATGCAAACTCAGGGCTCCTGCCTGCCCACCCTGATTCTTCCCCTAGGCCTGTGTGCTGTGCAACCTAACCAACTTTCTCTTGGATACTGACAGAGGTCAAGTGCACAGGCTTTGCCTCTTAGCAGCTGTGCCCACTTTGAGCCTTGGCAATGGGGCCGATTATGGTGCCTCCTCATGGGGCTGCCAGGAGGGCTACATGAGATCACGTGTGCGATCTCTTCTCCAGGAGGAGGCACCTAACAGGTGCTCATTAAATAGCAGTCTTGTCACGACACATTTTGTAGAAGCATGTGGTGGGGAGGGATTCATTTGTCTAGGTCTGGAAATCTTTGCCCTTAGGTGTCAACTTGCCCTCCCTTGGCCCAAGGCAGCCTGCGCACTGTGCAGAGGCCCTGCTTATGCAAAGGCTTCCCATACATCCCAGGACCTTCGGGACAATGACCTAATGTGCCCACTTACTTGCCATCATTCCCTCAACACATAGCAAGTTTCTGATCTCCACCAGGCCCTGGGCTAGGGCTGGAGATTCAGAGAGAACTTGAACCCGTCCACGTGACCGGTAAGTTAGATAAGGTCTCGTGGTTCTTGAAGAAAGATGACAGGACTTCATTTTGTGGGAAGGGAAGCAAAAGGACTTCCTCCAGGAGGACGCATTCTCGGCCCACAGAGACTAATAGCTGCTGCTGAACTACATTTCCTAGGCCCCCTGCAATTCAGTGTGACCGCATGAAGAAGCTAGTAGTGGGCTGAAGCGATAATGGGTGGAACTTCTGGGCCTGTCCCTGCCCAAGCCCCAAACAATTCTTAATTCTTTCTTTGCCTTTTGACCGGCAGGAATCAAGGCAACACTTAGGGCAACCTCGAGACCCACATGGTGTAGGCTCAGCCTGAGTACCAGAAGGACAGAGTGGAGAGAGCTGTCCACTCAGAACTATTTTTGTGTGTGTGTGTGTGAGACAGTCTCAAGCTGTTGCCCTAGGTAGAGTGCCATGGTGTCATAGCTCACTGCAACCTCCAACACTTGGGCTCAAGAGATCCTCTTGCCTCAGTTTCTCTACTTTTAGTAGAGACAGGGGTCTCGCTTTCGCTCAGGCTAGTCTTGAACTCATGAGCTCAAGCTATCCACCCTCCTCACCCTCCCAGAGTGCTAGGATTACAGGCAGGAGCCACTGTGTCCAGCCCACTCAGAACTTTTAAAAAAATCAAGAACTCTGGCAGCACCACTAGTTCAGTGGCCAGGGCTCCAGCCACGTACACTGAGGCTGGTGGGTTTGAATCTGACCCAGGCCAGCTAAAGCAACAACGACAACTGCAACAGAAAAAGAGCCGAGTTGGCTTGGTGCCTGTGGCTCAAGCGGCTAAGGCACCAGCCACATACACCTGAGCTGGCGGGTTCGAATCCAGCCAGGGCCCGCTAAACAACAATGATGGCTGTAACAACAACAACACAAAAAAATAGCTGGACATTGTGGTGGGCGCCTGTAGTCCCAGCTACTTGGGAGGCTGAGGCAAGAGAATCACTTAAGTACAAGAGTTAGAGGTTGCTGTGATCTGTGAAGCCATGTGACCCCACATGACCCCCACTGCACTCTACCCGGGGAGACAACTTGAAACTCTGTCTCAAAAAAAAAAAAAAAGAATTCTGTATCTAACATGTTCGCCATGTATTTGTAACATTTTCTGTGTTAGAGTAGCTAGGGTTACCTTGGAAGCCCTCCTTTTTTTATCATGTAGCTTTTTCTCTTCTCAATGTAAACAGTTGCATTTGTTGCTATAGTACTAAGTTACCAACATCAATGTTACAATTTAACTCTTTGTTTAATTGCAGATAATCCTCCTGACTAGCATGTTTTCAGATTGGGATTCATTAATTCTGTTTCCTTCATCGTTATTGTTGGCTACACTCAGAGCTTGGACTACAGTTTTCTGGAAAACTATGTGAATGTTCGAATCCCTGCAGGTTTGAGAATGTATCTCTGCTGTCTTGATACATGAATGCTGTGCTGTGTGGATAATAAATTCTGGGGAAGGCATCTCTATCCTGTAGACACAGGCTTACTATGTGTTGCTGTGGAGAAGCTCAAGACCAGTTTGTCTCACCCAGGGTCTCAGCAGGAACCAGGGGACATACTCAGACTGAGTAATGGAGGAGAGTTTAATAAAGGATTTACAGAGGTGTGGGTAGGTGTAGCTCGCAGAGTCCTGTCCATTGTCCCCCAGCACCACCTCTACATGGCAATGGCAATGCTAATACCTTAAGTCAGTCTCTCTCCCTTCCTCTCTCTCTCTCTCTCTGCCATAGGTAGAGCCAGGAGAGCAAGCTTAGCTAGTTATGTTGAACAAAGTAAGAGCGCTGGGGGGGGGGGGGCCAGGCCGGTGGCTCATGCCTTAATCTCAGCACTCTGGGAGGCGGAGGCAAGTAGATTGCCTGAGCTCACAGGTTCAAGACCGGCCTGAGCCAGATCGAGACCCCTATCTCTAAAAATAGCTGGGCGTTGTGGTGGGCGCCTGTAGTCCCAGCTACTCAGGAGACTAAGGCAAGAGAATCACTTGAGCCCAAGAGTTAGAAGTTGCTGTGAGCTGTGATGCCATGGCACTTTACCAAGGGCGACAAGCGAAACTCTGTCTCAAAAAATCAAAGAAACAAACAACAACAACAAAGAAAACTAAGAGTGCCAGGAAGTTAATGTTCTGGCAGCATTGTCAAAGGGGAGTGAGTAGATGAATCCCCCAGGTTCCTTCCTCAGTTAGGTTAACTCTGTGACATATTCTCTGTGACCGCCCAGGAGAACAGAAGCATCCTAGAGGGACTGAGCCCCAGGTGCCCAGGGTGGCGACATGCCCCTGTAGGCTTTTTTCACTTCCCTGTCTCATTTCTGCACTCATCCTTTCCCATGTTCCTGAGATCTCTTCCCAAATAAACTACATGTGCTCAAAACCTTTGTCTGAGGCTCTGCTGCTAAGTAAGAGATCAGTTTGAGGAATGCAACAAAGAGTGGCACAGTATCTGGGGCTGGTGACAAAATGAGCCATTGCCTTTCAAGAAAGAGGCATTAGCTGGGTGTGGTGGCACATACCTGTAGTCCCCACTACCTGGGTGGCTGAGGCAGGAAGATAGCTTGAGCCCAGGAGTTTGAGATTTCTGTGAGCTATGATCACACCACTGCACTTTAGCCTAGATGACAGAGTAAGCCCTGTCTGAAAGAAAGAGGAGAGAAAAGGGAAGACAGGAAAAATAGATGACAGAAAGGAAAAGGAAGAGAGGGAGGGGAAGACAAGAAGAGAAGAAAAAATAGGAAGAGGAAGGGGGAACCTGGATAAGGGATGGTATGGAGAGGGCAGCCAGAAGGACTGCTCAGACCTTGGCCTCCATAGAGACAAAGTGAAGCCAGTGACTGTGGAGGGAGGCAGACAGGGAGCCATCCTGACCTTTCCCTCCTCTAGTCTTCTGATCTCCTGCCAGCGCCCCTTTCTACTAAACCCAGCCAGCAGCCAGAGGAGGAGAGCCCATTGGTGTCACTGGGCACAGCTCGCAGCAAGGCTGCCTTCAGAAGGGTGGCGGGTGCCCGCAGGGGTGGACAGAACTGCAGCACACAGTCCAGCTTTGTGTTTGACCTACTTGGAGAGCCGAGCTTTGGTAGTCTAGGATGGAAAAAACTAAGTGCCGGCTGAGGGCAGAAGCAGGTAGGAGCCAGCGTTGCTGGTATCTATTGCGGCCGGACCATCTTCTCCCCGAAACACAGTGGCTCAAAATAACAACCATTCTATCGCGTATCTCCATATACCACCTGGGCTCCAGCCACCTGGCCTCTTGTCTTGCCGGGTTCCGTGGGGTCTCTCACACTGATTGTCATTTCCACTAGAGCTGCCTGTTTCTCCGCCACCCCACCCACCCCAGCCCTCTTTCACCTGGTGTACTCCTGCAGGTCCTGCAGCTGGCTTCCCATTAAAGCTGTCTAATTATGCACTTAAGTTGTGTGATCCTACGACGAGCGTTCCTGCAGCTCGGCAGAACGCAAGCCCCGCGAGGCTCACGATGGGGCCTGGCACGCAGGAAGAGCCGAGACGGCAGGGGACGCTTGAAAGTTGCTGCTGGGGCCGGGAGGAGGTACAGCCCGGAGAGGCGGCTGGGACGCGAGCCCCAGGCGCGACCCATCGCGTGTCCCGGGACGGGAGATGGCTGCTCCGCCGCGGCCCGCCGGGTTCCCAGGTCCGGAACTCCAGGAAATGCGCGGCCCGGACCGGTCAGCGGTGGGCGGGGCGGGGGCTCCGGGGCGGGCCGGTGGGCGGGCGGGAGGCGGGGCCCACCCCAGTTAAGAAGAGCTTGGCGGGCCGTGGCCACCTAGCTTTCCAGGGAAAGCGGACCCGCCACCGGCCAGGCAGAGACCCACCTAGATTCAGCAGCAGCGCCAGAGCGCACGCGAGCACCATGGCCCAGACGCCCGCCTTCGACAAACCCAAAGTGAGCGCGGGCGGGGGCTCCGGGCCGGGTTCCAGCTCTGGGTCTACCTGAGGGGGTCAGGGGGAAACAACCCTGGGGGTCCAAACCCGGGGATTGATCGCGGGCTCCTGCAGGAAGGAGCTTTCTTCCCTCTGTTCGGGTCTCGGGCAGCCTCCAGGCTGTCTAACAAGGGACAATGAGAAGGAGTCGGTTTCCAGTCCAGAGGCCTCCGGGTTCTGCTTCTGCCCCTGACATGCCTTCTGCTTCCTGACACTGCCAGCGCTGAGCTACCGTGTGAGCTTAGGCAGGGGTCCCGACCTCTCTGAGCCTCCGCCATAGTGCGAGGCCAGATGTCCAAGTCCCATAGACACCTGGTGTGCCCCGCGCATACTGAGTATTCAGTGAATGGAAGGAGCTTTATGCTCCAACCTGGTGATGGTGAGCGCCAAGGAGCCCAGGCACATGGATGTGCCTGTGGGAAGAACCGTGGGTCCTGTCAGAAAGGGGAGGAGGACTGCAGGGAAGCCCCTTTTGCTGGAGCAAAGGACTGGTTGGGCCCTGGGACTTGGCCCTAGCAGTGTTCCCTTAGGGCCAAGCACAGCCAGTGGCCCTAGTTTCTCACCCACCAGTGCAGCGTCTGGGGAACCATGGGGCCAGGGCTGTCCTCCTGGCCAGCTTGGGGGTGGAGAGGCCCAGAAATTCCATAAGCCTGATAATCAGCCAGTAAGGGATGAGGCTGGGGATGGAGAGGAAGACTCAGCCACAATTAGCCCCAACTTCTCTCTCTGAGAAGCAGGAGAGATGACCGCATACATCATAAAAGGATTGATAAAATCCGGTGAGTGTGTGTGAGAAAGAAGAGAGAGGGCAAGAGATCACATGGTGAGAGTCAGCGCTCCCTACCCACCTGCCTTCTGAGGGTGTATGGTCTGCCGCTATCACCTCAGACCCTCACCACGGACAGTGCTCAACGACTCCTTCTAGAGGTCAGGAGTGCAGAGGCAGCCCTCCCTTGTCCCCTGCCTCCTCACATTGTGTCTGGATGCCCATGTCCCATGCTTAGTGCCTCTTTCCTTTGAAGTCTCTCTTTTTTTTTTTTGAGACAGAGTCAAAAAAGACTCAAAAAAGAGACTTAGTTGCCCTCAGTAGAGTGTTATAGCGTCACAGCTCACAGCAACCTCCAACTCTTGGGCTGAAGTGATCCTCTTGCCTTAGCCTCCCAAGCACCTGAGACTACAGGGACTTGCCACAACACCTGGCTATTTTTAGAGACAGAGTCTCACTCTTGCTGAGGCTGGTCTCAAAACTGTGAGCTCAGGCAATCCACCTGCCTTGATCTTCCAGAGTACTAGGATTACAGGCATGAGTCACAGGCCTGGCCCTTCCTTTGAAATCTTGTCCCTGCCTCCCCCCGCCCCCCCCATTTTATTGCTCAGGATTCCCACTACCCTTGGGCTGGGAACCTGACGTGAATCCTAAGGCTGGAGGCAAAGCCCCTTCACTGGGAGTTGAGATGGGAGTTAACACTTGCTACATGCTCTCATTTGATAATCGCAATCTTTTATAACAGCCCAATGAGGGAGAGACTAATATTATTATCCCTATTTTTTTGGCCTTGCCCAGTCCTCTCAACTGACTCAAACTGGCAGGTCATTTCTCCCCTCTGGGCCTCAGTTTCCGTGCCTGGGGAATGGGGTTCCACCTGCTTATGTGGGTGTCTGAAACCAAAAAGGTGATGCTTGAGAGTGAAAGTAGAGTGTCACCTGCCATGTGATTGTGTCACCTGCCATGGGATTGTGGTGTGACAAATCTCAGATTGTGAGGACAGAACTTGCCTGAGCTGGCAGGAGAAGCAGGAAGGAGTGTGAATCTTAGAGCCACTGTGACCGAGGCAGCTCCTTGCTTTTCTATGGGTGCGACAGATAACAACTATAGTATGGCCAGTTGAAGCTTTCTGTGTGTTGCTGTTCCGCACCAGGCACCATTCTAAACACGTTACTTGCATTAATTCGTTTGATCCTGGTGATGTCTCTGTGAGGTAGCTGGTGTCATCTCCATTTGATAGATGGAAAAGCAGGCGCTAGGAGGTTAACTAGCCCCAAGATCACACAGCTAGGAAGTGGCCAGTTTGGGGTTTGAGCCCAGGAGAGGCTGGCTTCAAAATTCCATGTTCCTAAGCATCTTTCTAAACCATCTCTGCAGAACCTTTGGGGGTGAGGCACTGGTACCTCAGATGCAGGCTCTCTGGGACAAGAGCCTCTTTCATGGCCTTCAGCATGTCCCCAGCTGAGGCCCAGAGCTGGGCCAGCATTACCAAGGCAGAGTAGGGCGAGATTTTTCAAACTGCATTCCAATCACCTGACTTTTAATGTTCACCCTGATTTAGGAGGCCCACGTGGGGCTCCAGACACTACATTTCTTTCTTTCTTACTTTTTTTTTTTTTTTTTGAGACAGGTAGAGTGTTGTGATGTCACAGCTCACAGCAACCTCAAACTCTTGGGCTTAAGTGATTCTCTTGCCTCAGCCTCCCGAGTAGCTGGGACTACAGGCACCCGCCACAATGCCCGGCTATTTTAAGAGATAAGGTCTTGCTCTTGCTCAGGCAGGTCTCAAACCTGTGAACTTAGGCAATGCACCCACCTCGGCCTCCCAGAGTGCTGGGATTAGAGGCATGAGCCACCACGTCCAGCCAAGATGATGCACTTGTATGTTAGGCTTGCTAGTGACACTAATGCTACTGGTCCATGGACACATTTAGGGCTGCCAGGCCCCATGTGGCTGCCCACCTGGTTTGACAGTGTCATTCAGCATTCTTCCTGAGCACCCGCACCGGAGGAGTGGAAAAGGGTAGAGGTGTGGCCCTTATGGCGAGTCTCTGCCTGCTCAGGCACTATTGCCATGTCATTCTGCGTCCCAGAGGGCAATGTTGATCACATGCCTGTTGATAGAATAACACCAGCTAACAGTGGCTATCCTTTTAGCAGTCATGGGGACCAGGCACCTTCAAAGATTCATCTCACAGAATCCTCTGGGTGACTCAACAAGGCAGATGTTTTCATCCCCATTTATAGATGAAGAAACTGAGGCTTAATGAGGTGAAAGGACTTGCCCAAGGCTACACAAAATCTGAGAGCCTTGAACCTGTAGACTGGCAAGTGCACTGGCCCAGGCCGGTACAGCACAGTCTCTAAACTGTCCCTTCCTGATGCAGAGGGGGACTGGGGCTAAATCACCAATGTACTTTCTCCTCATATTTGAATGTTTGCTATGCATGAGGGGCTGTTCTAACTGCTTTGCAGTATGACTCATTTCTTGCTCTCAACAGCTCTCTGAGGTAGGTCTTGTTATTATCTTTGTTTATGTAAAAGGAAACTGAGGCTCAGAGAGGGGAAGGAACTTGCTAAAATCACACAGCCAAAAAGCAGCAGAGCTAGACCTGAGCCCAGATCTACCTAAAACTGAAGTAGCTGCTGTTAACTGCTATGTTATTAATAATTCATGATTCCCACTTTGTGCAAAAAGGGGGGGGCAGTGTGGAGGGAAGATTTAGGATCAGGGTGGCAATGTGGGTGAGCTGGTGTGTCAGCCTTGGGCTTCTGACAGGCTGGAGTTGAATCCCTGCCTTGACACTTAGTAGCTATACCTGGAGTAGACAACCTCAGTTTCCTCCTCTGTAAAATGGGATGATAAAACCAATGCCATGGGTACTTAGGAGAAACTGATATGCTGACCGGTCCTTGTACAGTGCCTGGCTGGCACCAGCAGGGCAGGCCCTCAGGGGTGTGTTCCCTTCCTGGGGGCCTTTGGGGGACTCCAGATGCCTCTCCACCTGCAGAATCTCTCTCTTTTGTCTCCCTGACACAAAGCCCACTGATGGCACTTCTTAGGGGTTTCAGTACATTTCAGTTACAGAGCCACCTGTTAAAACAAAGATACCCCTGGGAAGAGCCTGCCTTCCCCATTTTGACTCACGTGGCAGTTAGGGGGAGGGGACATGAAGGAGATTGGGTTTCATTGAAGCCTTTTGCTGGTCAGAAAAGAAAGCAAGAATCTGGGGAAGTGGTCTGTAGTCAGACAGTGAGGCAGTGGAGGCCAGCCAGCATCCTGATTCCATACCCAACCTCAGGGTGCTCTTGATGTGAGTGGGAGGGGGCGCTGTGAGCTGGGAGAGACTTGTCCACTTGTCCAGGTATCCTCAGGGTGTCCTTATGATTCCCCCTGGAGAAGGCTGGACTGCAGTCTAGCTTTTGACAGGAGAGAAGAGCAGCCCAGGGGTCCCAGAGTTAGGTTTGAATCTATGTTTACTCAAGATGTTGGGGGCAGGCTCATCCTCACCCCTTAATGTTCTGAGGCCCCAGACCAGGTGGGGGGTGGGGAGAGGCATAACCTCTGTGCTCATGGTGACCAGGAAGGTAGAATGGCTGAGGGATTTGAACTTGGACACTGGCTGGGGCCAGGCTGTCTGGGTCTGAACTCTGATCTCCCACTTGCCAATGGGGGGAACTTGAATGAATTACTTAGCTTCGCTGTGCCTCAATTTCCCTTCCTTAAAATGGGGATTATCGCATACCCATCTCACAAACACCAGGTGCAGGCCTGGCTCAGAGTGGGCACACCAGTGATAGCAGCTGTTGATCAGCATCATTATTGCCCTGGTTATAAATGATCAGCATCATTATTACCATGGCTATAAATCATCCTGCTTAGACATTGCCACCATTGACTTAGCACCTTGATTTGCAGGATGAAGGGAGTGTGTTGCAACACTTGAAACCTCTGGCTTTAGTGTCAAACTGCTTCCTGTGGTGGCACTCACTAGTCTGTGACACTCGCTAGTCTTTGGTGACTCAAGGCAAGCTCTTCAAACTCCTTGAACCTCAGTCATATTGATTGCCTATAAATTTGGGATCGTTATGCGGTGTTCCTAGGCTGCTGCTCCGCAGTGGAGGACACACCTCACCTTCTGAGAAACCACTAGGGAACCCCACTGAGCAGAGAACTCTGTCAGGCCCTAAGTCAG